GGCCAGGCCTAACATGCATCCCGTGCATCCGGCCAACCACAACTAACTCCAGTGTGCTCTTTGGCAGTTTCCAATGTCAAGCCTAAAAGAGCCGTGCCACCCACATCTACACTCTGCTCCGATGTTCATGAATCCTCTATGACAAAAGATGGATGTGAAAGATTTGACAACTTGACTCTTTTCAAGCTGTTTAACTGACGGTGAGATCCCTAGTGGAAGCTTTACAGGATTATTTCTTGGACATTAACTTTTCCATGAGACTAAAAAAGAAAGCATGTAAGCCGGTTATGGTGTTTGCTTAGCATGTCAAAAATTTTAATCTAACTCAGTCCTTCGCATTAAAGCCCCCACCATTGAAGTCATTTGAATAAAATGTGTAAAATGTGCATTTTAGACACAATAAACAATAAAAAATACTTGCATGCACACATTTGAAAACATTTAAAATAAAAAAGGATATAATTAGAAAATAAAAAATAAGAAAACTGATTTAATTGAATTTAAAGACAATGATAATAAAAGCTAAAATAAAAGATTCAGCTTAAGCCAATTTTTTTTATCTTTAGACTGTTAGCTTAATAAATAACACCAAGTACTGAGTTAACTATTTTTTTAAGCTGACAGACCTAATACAAAGTAGTATCAGATCGCTGTTTTCTGCTTAAGAGTATGAAATTCAATTACAAAGAGAATTTGTGCTACAAGTAGGTACAAGTCAAATGAATAGATAAAGGATTTCATTTTTAGAATAACAATGTTTAAATCAATTTAAGGGTTGAGTCTAACTTTAGTAACAGTAAGCATGTGTGAAGCAGGCTCAAGGTATCTTTCTGCGTTAAAGTATGAATTTAATGGCTGTTGTTTTAAAAATCAAAACGAAAGCAACATATTGCACTCCAGTTCTCTCATGGCTATTTTGAAAATGTTAAGTGCCCCCACCCTATCTGGTTAAGTCAAACAGAACATTCTTGAGTCCCCCAACCTTACCGCCCCCCAACCCACCCCTAGGCATCTTTCTAATGTTCTTGTTTCTGGTCGCTTCACTTCAGTCAGACT